GGGGAGTAGCGTGGGACACACCAGACGGAGCGGGAACAGGGGGGGGTACCGGAGGAGCAGGGGCGGGAGGAGGAGGAGCTGGAGCCAGGAAGAGGGGAGGGGGGGAATCGGGAGACCTCGACAGGGGTATCGGACGTAGTAGGGGACAGACTCGTCGAAACGGACGTCACGAGAGTCAAAGAACCGGTGGGAGGGAGGGTGGTAAAAGGTGAAGTCAGAGGAGTCCTCTGGGAAACCAAGGAAGACGCAGAGGACCGCGCGAGGCGAGATCTTGTCCGCAGAGGTGTCGCGGACAAGAGCCAAGCAGCCCCAGACACTAAACCTCGACGCAACACCAGGGGACCCTGTCCAAAGACTGGTCGGTGAAGCCCCTGGCCGAGAGACGCGAGGCCAGAGGTTCAGCTGGTGAGCGGCGTACCGAGCCGCGTAGGGCCACAGAAAATGGGGCGCGCGGGCGTGGATCATGGAGGTGCGGGCAATCTCCATGACCAGGCCTAAGCGGCGCTCAGCAACCCCATTCTGCTGTGGAGAGTCTGGAAGAGTCCAGGACTGGGAGATGCCCTGCTCAGCACAGAATCTGGCGAGAACGCCGGAGCGAAACTCACCCCCACGGTCGGAGTGGAGACAACTGACACGACGACGGCGAGTACTCTCGGTGGCGAGCAGCCACCGGATCAGCGTAGAAGTCACGTCGGACTTCTTCGCCAAAGGGAACACGGTGGTGTACCGAGAGTAGTCGTCAACGACCACCAGAAAGAAACTCTCCCGCTCAGGGCCAAGGCGGGGAGCGGGGCCCCAGACGTCTAAGTGGAGTGTCTCAAAGGGCTCGGTGGCCGGACGAAGGGAGGAGGAGTGAGGGGTGGCGCGCAGCCGACCCTGGACACAAGGACCGCAAGGAGGAGCTGGGGACGGCGGGAGCGGCGGAAGGACTCGGGGGAGGCCTAAGACAAGACGCTGACTGGACATAGCGCGAAGACGAGGGAGGGACGGGTGACCAAGGCGGTGGTGCCAGAGGAGGGAGGGGTGGGCAAGCGACCGACACGAGCACGACGCAGCAACTACACCTGACACAGCAACCTGACTGGACCCGGCTACCTGGTGGGACGGGGGAACCTGACGGGGGTCGGTGCGGAGGGTGTACAGACCGGAGCCCGGCTCCTGGCGAAAAGTGGCCAAGGGGGCGTACGTGTCACCGTCCACACAGACCGCGGTGTCACCAGAAGGCTCAACCCAGACTCCGACGTGCTGTCTCGCCAGGGGGCCCACACCAACCAGGTTCCTAGAGAACGTAGGAACGTGGAGGCCAGTCAGGGAACCGGAAGGAGCAGCCGGGCACGGGAGCGTAGTGGCGTGAGTCGCAATGACCGGTCCCGAAGAGGGATCGGCCAGTGCGATGGAGAACGGCGCCGGGAGAGGAGAGAGAGTCGTGCGGTCGCGAAAGAAGCACTGCGTCGCTCCTGAGTCCAGTGTGAAGGAGAGAGACGCGTCCGCCGAGGGAGCACCTGTACTAGTAGCTAAACAAGATCCTACACTAGCACCTACTCGAGCAACAGGCAAAGTTCCTACGCTAGGCACAGGCAAGTACACAGATCCAGGAGCACTATAGTCAACATCAGCATACATGGCATAAGACCTAGCATCATCCATAGTCATATCAAAAACAGAGATACCACGAGCAAGAAGTGTCCCCCAACGCGGCGGCGGGGGAGCGGAGGGGCCGTGGTGGAAGCGGTAGAGGTCGTCAAGACGACTGAAACAGCATGCAGCAGAGTGGTCAGGGCGGCCACAGTACGAGTCCCTACGTGGACCCGTAAGGATCCAGTACTCACAGGGACCAACGTCGCGACCGGCCGAGCGAGGTCCCCGATTGGAGGGGGCGGCACTGCGCCCAGTGCTCGGGGGACCCGCAGACCTCCACTATTGCGGAGAGCCCCACGGCTGCGGAGGGCCCCACTGCTGCGGCTGCGGCTGTGGCGGGCGCTGCTGCTGGCCCTGTCGCTGCTGCTGCTGTCCCTGCCGCTGCTGCTGTCCAGGCGGTGGCATCTGTTGAGAAGCCGGCTGCTGCTGCTGCTGGAACCCCTCACCACCAGTGAAAACTCCACCGTCGAGAGGAGGGCCGTCAGGGCCCGAGCCACCGCCACCACCACCCCCACCACCTGCTCCACGACCACCGCCACTACCCGCACCACCTCCAGTACCTCCGCCGCCCTTCCCGCCCTTCTTACCGGCCTTGCCACGTTTCTGTCCGCCAGAGACAGAAACAGCCGCCGTCTCCTCAGAGGCAGAAGACGCGGGGGTGGCAAGGGAGGCAGTGAAGGTGGGAAGCTGTGGTACCGCACACCCCTCAAAAAGACGAGGAGGAGGCGCGGAAGAGGCAGAGGCAACAGTGAGGAGGTTACTCTCGATCTTCGAGAGAGCAGTCTCAAGAAGATCGATGGTAAGCTCAGTGGGGTGCTTCAGAAGAAGCGCGTCGCGGGCTGTGGCTAGGCGGTCAGGGAGGCGAGTGACTAGCCAGTGAATGGTGAGCCACATAGGGGGCGGGGCAAGGGCAAGCTGGTCCTCAGTGCAAGCAGCGCGAAAGCGAGCGTCAAGGGAGCGAAGGTGGGTAGCAAGGTCGGAAACAGTCTCAAAGGAGGCGAGGTCAGGGTAGATAAAGGGGACGAGGAGGCGACTGAGTGAAGCAGAGGAGGGAGTGGAGTAGCGATCAACAATAGCCTTATACAGATCTGCAGCAGACTCGACCTGAGTGAAGTGGACTGCCTCTGTCGGCGGGAGAAGGTCGGTCAGGGCGAGGCAGGCAGCGGCGTCACGAGACTCCCACACGTCGCGAGCGAGGAACTGGCGCCGGTACTCGGCCTCCTGCTCAGGAGTAGGCGGTGGGGTAGTGGGCAGCAGGCTAGGCTGCGGAGGAGCGGTCTGAGTACCGGACGCGTGTGCGAACAGGTGCACGCCATCCTGCCGCTGGCTCTTAAGGTGGCGCTGCGCCTGCGTAAGCCACGTACTAAAGTCTATGGGTCTCCCCTCAGGGTCAAAACGAAGTACTCGGGAGGGGCGAAACTGAGAGAGCGCGGCTGCCAGCCGCGGGAGGGTGAGACAGTCAGTGGCGTGTGGGCAGGCGCGCAGGCGTGCAGGCGGGCAGGTGGCGCGGCATGCGGATAGGCGGGCGGCACGGCGCGCTGGCCGGCGAGCGGCGCGGCGGGTCTACGGGCGGGCGGCGCTGCGCGCTGGCGGGCGCGCTGGCGTTTGCACTGGCGGGCGCGCTGGCATGCGAGTTTGCAGGGCGCGCTGGCGTGCGCGCTGGCGGGGCGCGCTGGTGCGCGCGCTGGCGTGCGAGCTGGCGGGGCGCGCTGGCGGGGCGCGCTGGCGGGGCGCGCTGGCGTGCGCGCTGGCGTGCGCGCTGGCGTGCGCGCTGGCGTGGCGCGCTGGCGTGCGCGCTGGCGGGGCGCGCTGGCGTGCGCGCTGGCGGGGCGCGCTGGCGTGCGCGCTGGCGTGGCGCGCTGGCGTGCGCGCTGGCGGGGCGCGCTGGCGTGCGCGCTGGCGGGGCGCGCTGGCGTGCGCGCTGGCGTGATGCGCTGGCATGCGCGCAGACGGGGCACGCTGGCGTGCGGGCTGGTGGGGCGCGCTGGCGTGGGGCGCTGGCGTGGGGCGCTGGCGGGGCGCGCTGGCGGGCATTCTGGCTAGGGCGCTGGCGGGCCTGCTGGCTAGGGCGCTGGCGGGCCTGCTGGCTAGGGCGTGTAGGGCAAACGGGGGGGGGGGGGGCGCACTAAGGCTAGAGACCAAGTTTTAGGAAGGGCGGCGACTAGGTGTGGCCTAGGAACGGCGAACCTACTGCTGATACCATCTCACAAAGTGAAAACAGCGGAATGAGTTAGATTGATTGTGTTGGGGTACAAATGCCTAACCCTAACTGTTTGTACCCCATATAGCATGACCCACTAGAGGCTATAACATTTGACATTCTCCCCCACTTTGCCTATGGGGGTGTGTCAAATTATATATGTGTTAGGCTGTAGTGGGGTAGCCCATATGGGGTACAACCCAAAGTTAGGGTTAGTACTTGTACCCTCCATTCATTCAATGCAGTCATTCCTGCCTCTAGATTCTAACATTGCTAGTATTTGTGAACCTACTGCTCTGCCTGCTTGCTGTGCTGATTATACCCCACTTTGACTATGGGGGTGTGTCAGAATGTGATGTTTGTCTAGCCTGCAGTGGGTTATTCTATAGCGAGTATAGCCCAATTTAGGGTTTTCTAAATGTACTCAACTGCCTACTAGTGAAAACCCTCCTCTGCTGTTTCTGATTCTTGCCTGTACTTTCTGACAGTTTTTAGCACGTAACAATTCTTAGGCTTTCACAACACAAGACAGAAGTGTCATGCTGCTGTCCCTGCGTGCCGACACTGCTGCTGCTGCAACTGCTGGTGCTGTTGCTTGACGCAGGCTTGAGGGAACTTCCATTACAAGGGTTTTTTACAACAATGCACATGTTAGCTGAAACCTAGCCTAAATCAATACTGCATCCTTTTATAGCAACAGGGCAGGAGCACAAAAGAAGCAAGTGGGGGTGGGGGCGTTCAAGGGGGAAAGAGAGGGACGGAAGCAGGAAGGAGGGAGGGAGAGAGTAAGGGGAAATCAGGGGAAGCAAGGCAGTGCAGGCCTCTTCCAGAGAGGAGCGCTAGCAGCGAGTAAGCGCCCCACGATTATTGACTGCCACTGACACGGACACTGCTTTGCAGAGCGCTAACAGCGAGTATACTCACAGACAAATCTCTGGGCCACCTCAAACATACCCTCACGAAAGCACCAACACAACACCCTGTGAGGAGCCTAGTGATTGCTCTAAGGCGTCAGTAAAGCTTTGATGGTTCTGCCCTTCACAGCGAGTAGTGCAGCGTGCCTTGAGACTCTTGCATCATGCCCGAGGCCACTATCACCTTAAACACCAAGTCCACCCCCTCCCTTCCGCTCCCCATCCCCCTCTTCCTGGAAAGTGCTCATTCACAGCGAGTAGCGCAGCGTGCCTTGGGACTCTTGCATCATGCCAGAGGCGACCGTCACCTTAAACTCCAAGTCCACCGCCGACCCTGGCAGGGCTGCAGCGCGCATGCTGGCAGCGGCACTCCGAGCCGCGGTGGCAGGCGCAAGAGAGGTGGTTGAGAAGGTGGTGTCTATGGTGGTGGGGAAATCGCCCTTGGCCTCGCACACGTGCACGCCGGGCCTGGGCTGGGCCCACTTGCAGCCGACGGGGATGATGATTGATTCCTGGGTGCCGGGGTCCACGACAGAAAGCGTTGCCTCTGGCGTGAGGGTTTCTGGGGAGATGAGCACGATGCTGTAGTCGATGGTGCACTTGCGGTTCCTGCCAGGGAGAGAGGTTCAGGGGAGGCGGAAAAAGGAGGGAGAAGGGGGCATTGGGGTTGAGTTCGGTTTGGGGAGATGAGCACGATGCTGTAGTCGATGACGCACTTGCGGTTCCTGCAAGGGGGGAGGGAGCTGGGAGAAGGGGGACAGTGGGGTTGAGATTTGTGTGAGGGGTAGATGGTGGAACCCTAGGGAATGGGTATTGACGCCTCTTTCTGAAATTGGGACTCGCGCTTACAAGAGAGATCAGGGTGTGAAGGCCCATCTCTGTACCTTGCAGATAAAGAACACTATATAGAGCACTATTTAGCTTTAAAACACAAAAGAACACTATTGCTATTCATCTATACAAGAATCAAATAGCAACAACCAGCATTTTGTGAGGTGCAGTGCAGTCACGGCAGAGACTTACAGATTAGAGACAGCAAACATTGCGCCTCCCTTGATCTCGTCCCCGCTGATCATTGCCTGGAACCTTCCAGCAGGAACCCCAACAAGCAGGTCGGTTTTACCTGCAGCAAAACGATATTTGGTGATAGTTGGTCGTTGCGAAAAGATTTTTAAAGAGCGAAAATAGGAAAGTCGTAGAATATGGGGCTGTCAGTTACAAATTTGACATCTCAACGAAACTGGGTCTGGGAAACTTACCGAAGACTTGATCAATTTTTGTAGTCGACGCTTTCGCGAGCTTCGACGTGGCATCCAGTGCCTGGTTGCGCGCATCCGGATAGGTCAGACTCAGGTCATGCGAGTCAACGCGAATCCCCACGCCAGCCGTGAATCCGATGTTGTTGATGTTTGCCTGGGTCAGCTTGGTCTGGCCGAAGCAGTCCCACACGCTCGGCGCGACTTGCGAGCACTGCAGGTTCTTTCCGAGCGCACCCAGCACGACGGGAGTTCTAGCGTTCAGGGTCACTTCCATGGGCGGATAGGGCGAGCCTGCGGTGGTCAGGCGGAACTGCGACGGCTTGGTCGTGGACCTGTGAAAGTAGGTGAACAAACCAGGTGGGTGGACATGAGCACAGCGCAGGCCACATGGCATGGTCGGTGCGGACGTGAGATAATGGGTTTGGCGGAACTTCAAGGTTGGGAGAGAGAGGAGAAAGCGGGAAAGGGGGGATGTCTGGATGAATGAGGAACCCGGCTGTGGAAGCCTGTTGTGAAACCCGGCTGTGGGTTCTTGCTTGGAGGGGACTGCGATGCTGAACGTCCCTGCCACGTTCAAATCCGAAAAGGCCGCGCTGTAGAACTCTGTCAAAGTTAGCTGTAGAAAGTAAGAATGAAGAAAGGAGGGTTTGCACTAGCAACAATGGTGGTACAAATAGCTAACCCTAGAAGGGTTGTACTCGCTATAGAGCACCCCACTGCAGGCTAGAGCATAATATTCTGACACATCCCCATAGTCAAAGTGGGGTGTAATCAGCAGAGCAAGCAAAGTAGTACAAGCTCAGGGTGGATCACGATGTCACCACACATTCTGAGCACAAGCAAGAAGCAATAGTTTAAGGTTCACAATTATGAGCAAAGCTAGAGGCAGTCACAGGGGGCAAGTGAGGAGGAGGAGGGCTGGTGAGAGGAGAGTAGATAGGAGGCGACGACTGAAGATGCAGACACACGGGCAACAGACGGCTCTGGTGCGACAACGTGGCTACCGGGAATGAGTGCCCCGGAGTACAGGAGTAACAGGCTCCGCGGCTAATATGCGCGGCAGGAGCAACGGACCCACAGGCGACGGCGCAACCGGCTCTCTGAGCTACCGGGAATGAGTGCCCCGGAGTACAGGCGCTGCGTACGACACGACGGCAACCTCCGCTCAACCTCCCCCAACAGTCCCACACCCCTCGACACACACCCCCTGCTGCGCCCCTAGCTCCACTCCCCCTTCACCCCCCTAGGACCACTCCTTCGGCTCCCCACACAACCACCCCCCTGAGCGGCAGCTGCAGCAGCGGGAGACGGAGGAGGAGGAGAAGGAGGGGACGGGGCACACAACCGGCACCCCCACACCCGCCACCCCCACACTCTACATCCCCAAACCCTAAAACGGGTGGGATAGGGGCAGGAGCGCGGGGGACGGCGAGAGGGGGACGGACGAGGCGCGCGCAGGCTGCCCGCGCCGCGCGCTGGCCTGGCGCAGCCCGTACGGGCCGCGCGCGGGCCTGGCGCAGCCCGTACGGGCCGCGCGCGGGCCTGGCGCAGCCCGTACGGGCCGCGCGCGGGCCTGGCGCAGCCCGTACGGGCCGCGCGCGGGTCCCAGGGGCGCTTCGACGGGCGACGGGGGCGTTTTGGCGGGCGACGGGGGGCGCTCCGACGGGCGACGGGGGCGCTTCGACGGGCGACGGGGGGAGGGCGCTTCGACGGGCGACGGGGGGCACTTCGACGGTGGGAAACCGCCGCGCGCCTCGGGGCGCACGGCGTGCAGAAAACCGCCGCGCGCCCCGAGCGCACGGCGGGATGAAAACCGCCGAAACCCTAGAAAAAATTCGCCGCGCGCGGAGCGCGCGGCAGGAAGAAGTCGTCGCGCGCCCGAGGCGCCCGGCAGGAAGTAAAGCAGCGGAAGCATTAGGTGGTGGGCCCACCCACAGGATCGACCCAGGAGGGTCGACCTGCTCTGATAGCATGTCAAAGTTAGCTGTAGAAAGTAAGAATGAAGAAAGGAGGGTTTGCACTAGCAACAATGGTGGTACAAATAGCTAACCCTAGAAGGGTTGTACTCGCTATAGAGCACCCCACTGCAGGCTAGAGCATAATATTCTGACAAAATCTGCATTGGAAAATCATCAACGACAGTGGAGAAACGGAGGAGGTGAGAGGATGAGGGATCGGTGGGATATATGGAGAGATATTTCGCGACGCGAATAACAGTAACTCACAAATGGAACATGTTTATCACGAAGATTTGCCACAAAATTCGCACTCGGGTTTCCAATGAAAAGATTTCACGCACAGTGAGCAGGGTGCAGCGCGAGTGAATCAGGAGAGCGATAGGAAAAGGATGGAGGCACTGAGTGGCGGCAGGCGTGGGCGGCGGGAAGAGCATGGCGAGGACGGCCTTGACGAACGCGAGGCAGAGGGGTGTGGGGGGGGGGGGGGGGGGGGGGGGGGAAGGAGCGGGGCAGGCATGGGGGGGTGCGCTTACTGGCGGCGGGCGAGGGCGGCGGGAAGAGCATGGCGAGGACGGCCTTGACGAACGCGAGGCCCGCTTTCGCGGCGCGCTGCTTGGCCGCCTCGCTCACCGCCTCTGCTCCGGGAACCGCCGACGCGACCAGCACGCCTGCGGTAAACCACAAAGCGAGGCCAATAAAACGATATCACCAATTGACGGACGAAGTAGTTAAAAGCACAGCGTCGGGAAGGGAAATGATATGAGCGAAGGAAGTTTATCTGTCGTGCAATCGAGGAAGGACGCATGGTTTGATGAGAACCGTACCGGCGATGATGAGGAGGCACGTGAGAACACGAGGGAGAGCCATCGCGGGTGTTTCTGAAGATGTCGCTGGGAAACCCTAGACAGAGATACCACTGATGTGAAAGAAACTCGCAGTTCCGAAGAGGTATACGGTCTCAGAAGTAGGATCTCTTGGTACGGGATGCTTAGGCAAGAATAAAGCTGATGATGAAAAAAGATGTGGCTTGGTGGTGGTAATAATCAATCTGCGGATGAAAAGGCTTTCAACAGGACTAAGCAAGAATGTGTCATTGAATGGAAGAATTGGGTACAAGTAGCAAACCCTAGTTGGGGTTGTACCCCATACTGGCTACCCCACTACAGCCTACCAACATAACACAGTTTAACACACCCCCATAGGCAAAGTGGGGGAGAACAAAGGGTCACAAGACCAGTCTAGCAAAGCAAAGCAAGCCCAGGGTGGATCACAACGTCACCACACTCCGAGCACAAGCAAAGGCCACAAGGCCAGTTCACATGCAGTGCTAGATATAGTACAAGACAAGCAACACAGTGATCAAGACCTAGCAAGCAAGCAACGAGATATATATAAAGGACAGTACAAAGAAAGTCAAGCAGTAAGCAAATGAGGGAATGTGGACACAAGGCCTAAGGAAGTACAGTGCCGCTGATGATCACTAGGCGGGAGCGCCTTGGTGAAGATATCAGCAGTGTTGGCCTTCGAGTCCACGTACACAAGCCGAAGCTGACCTCGCTGCTGCAGCTCTCGAGCAAGAAAGTAGCGAAGAGCAATGTGCTTCGTCCTGTGCTCCAGTCTGTGCTCCTGACACAAGGCAAGGGCCGCCTTGTTGTCACCGTACAGAACTGGAGGAGAACTAGGCCGCTCTCCCAAGTCAGTCAGCAGGTAGGTGAGCCAGCGTAACTCCTGGGCAGCCATGGCTGTGGCGTAGATCTCAGCCTCACAACTAGAGCCGAGAACAGAAGAAGAGCGGGTGGACCGCCACGAGACAGAACCAGAGCCAAGGCTGAAGGTGTAACCCTGTGACGACCGCTGCGTAGCCAGGTCGTCCACCCAAGAAGCGTCCGAGTGGCCAGTGAGGACAACTCTGTCGCGTCCTCCAAGCACCAGCCCCATGCCTGATGTACTGCACACGTAGCGGAGGTCCCTAGGACCTATCGACCGTTTCTTTTAAGGGCCCACCACCGCTCGCATGCGGTTACCACGCTACCCCGTGCCCTAGCCTCGTAGCGCCCTCGTGCGTCCTCGTTAGCGCCCTCGCGCGCCCTCGTTAGCGCCCTCGCGCGCCCTCGTTAGCGCCCTCGCGCGCCCCTCGTTAGCGCCCTCGCGCGCCCTCGCTAGCGCCCTCGAGCGCCCCTCGTTAGCGCCCTCGCGCGCCCCTCGCAGCGTCGCCCGCCCGCCGAGCCGCCTGCTCGCAGCGTCGCCCGCCCGCCACGCTGCCCGCTCGCCGCCCGCCCGCCGCGCTGCCTGCTCGCAGCGTCGCCCGCTCGCCCCGCTGCCCGCTTCGCAGCCCGCCCGCCCGCTCGCTGCCCGCTTCGCAGCCCGCCCGCCCGCTCGCTGCCCGCTCGCAGCGTCGCCCGCCCGCCCGCTGCCCGCTTCGCAGCGTCGCCCGCCCGCTTGCTGCCCGCTCGCAGCGTCGCCCGCCCGCCCGCTGCCCGCTTCGCAGCGTCGCCCGCTCGCTCGCTGCCCGCTCGCAGCGTCGCCCGCCCGCCCGCTGCCCGCTCGCAGCGTCGCCCTCCCGCCTCGCTGCCCGCTTGCAGCGTCGCCCGCCCGCCCGCTGCCCGCTTGCAGCGTCGCCCGCCCGCCCGCTGCCCGCTTCGCAGCCGCCCGCCGCGCTGCCCGCTCGCCGCGTCGCCCGCCCGCCCCGCTGCCCGCTTCGCAGCCCGCCCGCCGCACTTCCCGCCTGCAGCGCCGCCCGCCTGCAGCGCCGCCCGCCTCGCTTGCTCCTGCTGTGGCTGCTAGCTTCGCTCTAGCGCGTCCCCTCTGCTGCTGCCGCTGCTCTGCTGTGCCCTCACGCCTGAGCTATGGCCTCTATTCGCGTTCTTTCCTTCGATGCTGAGGGCCGTCCCGTGCAGTTCACTTCCTGGCTCGACGACCTGCAGTTGTATCTTATGAGCAATAGCACGGACCACATCTCCCTCTATGACTACGCGTCTGGTGCTGCCGCTGCTCCTGCTGCCACAGCCGAGCTTAGTGTACGTTCACAGTGGCAGACTCGTGACGCTGCAGCTCGCCTGGCTATTCGCAGTCACCTGCCGTTAGCTGAGCTAGAGCACTTTGGCGACTGCAAAACCGCTAAAGCCCTATACGACGCTGTCGTTGCTCGCTACTCCTCACCTGCCACAGCCGAGCTTAGCCGTCTCATGCTGCCTTACCTGTTCCCTGACCTGTCCACCTTTGCTACAGTCGCCGATCTTATCACCCACCTTCGCACTAGTGATGCTCGCCTGCGTGCCGCCCTTCCCACCGAGTTCTGCGCTAAGAACCCCCCTCCCCTGTACTGGGCACTCCACTTCATAGTCACCCGTCTCCCTGACACCCTCAGCTCAGTGCGCGACTATTTCCTTGCTCGCTGTCCCACTGAGCTCACTGTCGCCCTCCTAGAGGAGAAGCTGCTAGCAGCCGAGAAGAGCATTGTAGCTGTAGGTGCTGCTCGCGGCGCTCCTCGCACCCCCATCTTTGAGGGGTGCTCTCCCTCTCCCCTCGCTCCCTCCTATGCTACTGCTGCTGCTGTTGACTTCCTTGGTGCTGAGTCTGCTGGCGCTGCTTCTGCTCCTGGTGGGAGGCGCCGCACCGGCAAGGGCAAGGGGGGCAAGGGTGGCGGGGGTGGCGCTGGGGGGGGAGGGGGTGGGGGTGGCGCTGGGGGGGGAGGGGGTGGGGGAGGTGGGGGGGGAGGCGGTGCTGGAGGGAGCGGTGGCGGGAGTGCCGGTGGGAGTGGGGCCGGCGGCGGAGGCGGGGGCGGCGGCGGGAGCAGTGGCGGTGGTGGCAGCGGCGGCAGTGGCGGCGGTGGCGGTAGTGGCGGTGGCGGTGGCGGTGGTGGCGGTCGGAGCGGAGGTAGTGGCGGCGGTGGAGGTCGGAGTGGAGGCACCGGCTCGGGCCAGAGCTCCCAGCAGCAGCAGCGTCCCCAGACGACCCAGCAGCTTCGTGAGTGGCTTGCTCAGCGTGGGACGTCGGGGGGCAGTGGCCGCTGTTCCTATGTCATTCGCACAGGTGATCGCAAGGGGCAGACGTGTGGAAAGTTCCACACTCAGTACCGCTGCTTCTTCCGCCTTGACGACGCTTGGCGTGAGGAGATGGGCGAGGATGTTGAGCGCCCTCGCTGGGCTGAGCTGATGAGGGCTGGTGTTGATATCTTTGCTCTTGGCTCTGATACCATGTCAACAGGACTAAGCAAGAATGTGTCATTGAATGGAAGAATTGGGTACAAGTAGCAAACCCTAGTTGGGGTTGTACCCCATACTGGCTACCCCACTACAGCCTACCAACATAACACAGTTTAACAAAGGCTTGCGTCGAAGGGTGGAATTGAACGCGCAGAGCTTAGCTGCTTCGTGTAAGGTAAGCACGGAAACCGGGCCGTCATTTCCGGACCGTCAACCATTTGGCCAAGGGTTGAGCAATAATTCAATGTTCGCGTTCCATTCGAGTTGCAAAATAAGAGAGGCATCGTGAGTTCCGTTACCTACGGAACGAAGCAGCTCGCTCTCTATCCAATCAAAAAGAGACGTTCGCCCGTCTCAGCTGCGCCAATGGAACCTAATAGGTAGGAATAAGCCATGCTCTGTACGTGTTCATATCAGAATGGTGAAAGCTAGGGGAACTGACTGAAGCTGTTTGACTGGGTGGTTGGGAGTGAGGGGAGGGAAGGGGAAAACAATAATACAGGCGACGGAAATTATCAGGACAAACTGACGGGGAACGTCAGGCTCCGTCAGCAGCTTACAGCCTGTTTGGCTGAGCCCCAGAAAAGATTCTGGCTGACCGGAAATGAAATGATTGGTTGGCAGCAGAGAAATGGTTTTCTTGGCAGTCCGGAGGACATCTTCGCGAAGTCACTGACTGACTCCTCGAATTGACGACAATCCTCGCAAGTATATTGTCCAAGAGAGATGGTAACTCAGGCTGACGATTTCGCAAATTAATATTCTGCCCCTTCACACGGAAAGCAAACGAAGCTGCATTATTGCTGCCCCAAAACGGTGGGCAGAGCTGACGGCATTATTGCATTACACATGTTGCTCAACCGCTGCGCTCGAATTTGCCCTGCACGCGCCAGAAACTCTGCACGCGTGTATTTGGGGCCAGCCAGTTGCACCCCCTTTACAAGCACCTCAAGCAAGTTGCAGTGATTTGAACCAATACGAACCACAGAAAACGAAGCTTGACCGAAGAGACCGAAGTCAAAAAGTCAACGGCGAGTTACAAAACTTTTTATAAGCCCTTTTTGCTAAGTGCGAATTGACGAAAACTTAGCGAAATGCAAGAATCACTTAAGAGCCCCCTTCACAAGGCAACCTTGGGTTAGTCAAACGAGCATCATCTGTATGCGTGATTTCAAACATCGCTCAACAGCCCACCCGTGCGTGATGTGATTTTCATACACCGCGCTTCGGACACCCAATAATGCAGCCCCTGAATTTCCACCTCTGTCCAAGCCATCGCCCCATCCTCCCCATTCCTTCCTCTGCCCAGTTTTATCCATCGTAAACCTTCTGAACCGCATATCAACCCTCTGAAAGCCTCCGTACATTCCTCAACCAAGCTTATCCACCAGCTCCATCTCAGTTCAACTCCAAGCTGACGATGGTTCATAATTCGATCGTATTTCCAGGGCATTCAGTTCACTCGCACATCGCATTCTACCTCTCGACCAGCAATCCCGATTGCCTTAGCGCTCATTCTTGCTCCTAGCCAGTTTTCTTTCTGACCAGACCGTGCATATTTTGCTGGTTCTTGCCACCTCCACTGTCCTTTCGCGGCATTGAACTCAAAAGTCTCGTCATGGCCCGCCTCGCACTACCGCATTGGCTCGTATCCTGCCTTATGTGCCTTCCAGGTAAGCATCTTCAAGGCGCAAATTTGCAAGGCCCGTTCATTACAGCTACCCTATTCCGACAAATATTAAAGCTTCTGCCATTTGTATTTCACGACGATTCACGCTAAAGAAAAACCCATACACGATAAACTTGATTTCCGCAGGACTCTTGCTTCTCCTCTGCGCGGCGCCTGTCACCATGACGTCAGCGGCGTTCGAGGTCGCGGACGCGGATATCAAGAAATTCGTTCCCAAAACCTCCTCGCAATCATGTAAGGCCATACGCGGCAGCGCTTTGACCCAGCGTCACGCTCAGTTTGCTAAATCCTTGAACTTTGAACCTTGAACTTCGATCGGAAAGACTGGCTCTACTATTAGTCGGAAAGACTGGCTCTACTACCGATCCGGGGTAGTAGAACCTCCAATCGGAAAGACTTGATTGTTCTGAGCATGAGCTCTTCATGTGCTTTGACAAACATTGACCAACCAACTCCCACTCACTCGCCGCATAACCATGTTTGTTGCTTGCTTTCTCCCAATCCCCTTACGATACCTCGCAAGCTTCTATCATCCCACGTTCCCCTGACGTCACGCTAACCATTCGAAGCCCAGCGCGGTCTCAACGGCTAACCCAGTCATTCTCCCGTTGCCACTCGACTCTTTGCAGCCTTCTACAGTGCTCTGGTGGTGTCGTCATACGAATCGCAGGGGACCGTGATCGTGCAAATGCCTGCCGAGTAAGTCCGACCTTCCGAAAGTCTCCCCGTGTCGTCAGCGTCACCATGAGTTTCATTCCTTGCATTCCTCTATTCCACGAAGATTCTCCACCCCACTGGCAGCCAGCTGATAAACGGCCGTTTCTGCTGACTTCTGAAACCTCCATGAATAAGTTCATCATACTCCCCCCTTCCTCCCGCTCCCCGTCGGTCCCTCGTGCTCCCGTCACTCCAGCACGGACCTATTCCCGGTGGTTCTCCGCGTGGTCATGGCGGGAAGCGTCGACCCACCAACGGACGTATCTCTCGATGGCATGTCTCTGGCATCGGACGCCAGTCAGTGGAAGCTGGTCGCGCCGGGCGTGTGGGACCTGACTAGGAGTCTCGACTGGTCGACCATTGCTCTAGGGAGCGTCTTGACTCAGTCAACGGCCGAAGTGTCGCACGCGGATGTGAACGGCAACGCGGTGACCGCGTCGGGGTCGCTGGCTAAGATCGGTGCCCTTGATACTGGCACGCACGGATGCTCTCGTTCTGAATGTGGCAACGCAGGCCGTGCTCTTCGTCGGTCCATCCGTTATGATGGCTCCTGACAGTACAAGTTATGCCCCGCTGCGCCGGACACTGTGAATAGCACCCCTCCCGTTGAAATCCCCCTCATGCACCCCTGATGCTTCCCTCCCACGTGTCCCCATCCCATTCCGCCCTTCCCACGTGCCAGGCGTCGCAGTGCTGCCATCCATGGCAGGCGGTCGGTTCCAAGCCATGTTCTCCGGCGCCGTGGTAGGGGGAGCCAAGATCCGCATCGCCACCAGCACGTGAGTTTGTGAGAGTGGTTACAGCACTTGCAATGAGAGTGATAATAGCAGTTGCGGTGAGAGTGATAATAGCAGTTGCGGTGAGAGTGATAATAGCAGTTGCGGTGAGAGTGATAATAGCAGTTGCGGTGAGAGTGATAATAGCAGTTGTGGTGAGAGTGATAATAGCAGTTGCGGTGAGAGTGATAATAGCAGTTGCGGTGAGAGTGATAATAGCAGTTGCGGTGAGAGTGATAATAGCAGTTGCGGTGAGAGTGATAATAGCAGTTGCGGTGAGAGTGATAATAGCAGTTGCGGTGAGAGTGATAATAGCAGTTGCGGTGAGAGTGATAATAGCAGTTGCGGTGAGAGTGATAATAGCAGTTGCGGTGAGAGTGATAATAGCAGTTGCGGTGAGAGTGATAATAGCAGTTGCGGTGAGAGTGATAATAGCAGTTGCGGTGAGAGTGATAATAGCAGTTGCGGTGAGAGTGATAATAGCAGTTGCGGTGAGAGTGATAATAGCAGTTGCGGTGAGAGTGATAATAGCAGTTGCGGTGAGAGTGATAATAGCAGTTGCGGTGAGAGTGATAATAGCAGTTGCGGTGAGAGTGATAATAGCAGTTGCGGTGAAAGTGATAATAGAAGTTGCGGTGAGAGTGATAATAGCAGTTGCGTTGAGAGTGATAATAGCAGTTGCGGTGAGAGTGATAATAGCAGTTGCGGTGAGAGTGATAATAGCAGTTGCGGTGAGAGTGATAATAGCAGTTGCGGTGAGAGTGATAATAGCAGTTGCGGTGAGAGTGATAATAGCAGTTGCGGTGAGAGTGATAATAGCAGTTGCGGTGAGAGTGATAATAGCAGTTGCGGTGAGAGTGATAATAGCAGTTGCGGTGAGAGTGATAATAGCAGTTGCGGTGAGAGTGATAATAGCAGTTGCGGTGAGAGTGATAATAGCAGTTGCGTTGAGAGTGATAATAGCAGTTGCGGTGAGAGTGATAATAGCAGTTGCGGTGAGAGTGATAATAGCAGTTGCGGTGAGAGTGATAATAGCAGTTGCGGTGAGAGTGATAATAGCAGTTGCGGTGAGAGTGATAATAGCAGTTGCGGTGAGAGTGATAATAGCAGTTGCGTTGAGAGTGATAATAGCAGTTGCGTTGAGAGTGATAATAGCAGTTGCGGTGAGAGTGATAATAGCAGTTGCGGTGAGAGTGATAATAGCAGTTGCGGTGAGAGTGATAATAGCAGTTGCGGTGAGAGTGATAATAGCAGTTGCGGTGAGAGTGATAATAGCAGTTGCGGTGAGAGTGATAATAGCAGTTGCGGTGAGAGTGATAATAGCAGTTGCGGTGAGAGTGATAATAGCAGTTGCGGTGAGAGTGATAATAGCAGTTGCGGTGAGAGTGATAATAGCAGTTGCGTTGAGAGTGATAATAGCAGTTGCGTTGAGAGTGATAATAGCAGTTGCGGTGAGAGTGATAACAGCAGTTGCGGTGAGAGTGATAATAGCAGTTGCGGTGAGAGTGGTTAACAACGAGTGTCAAGAAGGAAGAGGCTGCATTTGAGGGGCTTGAAAGGAATGGTGGGGCAGGTCATGAAGGAAAAGCCCCCCCTTATTTCCCCTCTCTGTGCCCCCCTCTATTTCCCCTCTCTGCCCCCCCCTCTGTTTCCCCTCTCTGTCCCCCCCCCTCTATCCCCCCGTCTCTGCCCCCCATCTCTACCTCCTCCCTCTGCTCCCCCTCTCTGTCTACCCTCTCTTCCCCCCCGTCCCTGCCTCCTCTCTCTTCCCCCCCGTCCCTGCCTCCTCTCTCTGCTCCCCTGGCATGCAGCCGACACCAAGGTCAGCCTGGGAGGTGCACCAGGTGTGTATCAGAGGCGTTACACTCAACACAGCTTCTGCTCTTTCCTCATCTGCTCTACCTGCTGTCCTCTGCTGCCCCCACTGTTTGCCCTCCCTCTCTGCAGCAACACCAAGGTCACTCTGGAGGTACACCGGGTGTTCACCAAGGGCGTGAACTCCAACTCAAAGGTCTCCCTGGCGGGTCAGGTCGGAGCTGACAAGTCGGCCCCTCTCGCCCTCGCATGCCCTTCATCGCAAACATCAAGGGCGTGTTCACTTGCGCCAAGACCGTCGACGTGAAAATCCCTGTGCAAGCTGCTACCACAGCTGGCGTCTTGGGACTTCAGAAGTTTATGGCTGCGTTGGTGGGAGCGACCATGTCAGGTGATAACCTGGCAGCAACCTTCACCCTCACAGTCAGCGGGCAGCAAGAGAACCTCTACTATGTCAGAATCCCAGCCATTAACCCCCCATAACCCCCCAGGCCGACGTGCCTGTAACCCTTCCCTAGGATCATCGGGGATCTCCAGTGGACCTCTGACATACTATGCTCTGTAGGCGTTGAGACTGCCACGACCGGCGTCCTGGGTCTTCACGTGTTCATGGCTGTGCTGGTGGGAGCTACCATGTCAGGGGATAACCTGGCGGCAACTTTCACCCTCACAGTCAGTGGGCAGGAGGAGAACCTGTTCTATGCTCCGAAGGTGTTGAGACGATGAAGAATTAAGACCATGAGGTTTTCTCTCCTGCTTGCTACCGGTAGGTGAGGTGAGGTTGTCATGTCAAGGCTGTATCTGTTGTTTGTAATGTATAAGTTGGTTCTTCTTGCATCTCACTGGAAAAGTATGGTATTGACAATTCAGAACGTTGGGGTTCAGTAGGGCAACCAAGTGGAATTAGCCTTCAACTCAACGTCAAAATGCTGATTGCCACTCCTACAATTTCAAGAATACCGTAGCCAATGCCATTGTGAAAAAGTGGTAGTTAGTCTCTAAGCTCTTTTGATAAGGGCATGTTCGTACGCCCCTTAGCATGTGACTTTACATCCTTCCAAATGGGTCCAGGCCAGGAATATTTGGGCAAAGCCAATCCAGGATATACCGTACAGTACAGTGCTCCTAACCTTGCAACTTGTGGCCCTCATAACCTCATTCACATGGCAGTGCAGCTGCATCATAGGTACCATCCTTGGCTTTGGTGGCTTTTCAACAACTTGTATAAAAAAAAAGCACATACGGTACCCTACCCATATTTCACACAGGCAAAAAAAAAACCACTTAAGCGGTTATCGCAAGTGTCTACTTGCAACCGAGCTCGAGGCGCGTGAACTCCCCGAGCGTCTTGTTACGGCAGAGCTTCTGCACGTCGACGTAGCCAATGAGCGCGTCTTCAAAGACTGTGTCGGTGAGATTGGCATCGTTGAACGTGGACCCTGACAGCACCGCATTGCGGAACGACGCACCGGTGAGATCAGCCTCGTTGAAGAGCACCCGATCCAGCACCGAGTTGGAGAAATCAGCACCTGAATAACCCAGGAGGGTGGGGGAGGGAAGGTTATTGCAATGCAAGGAGTCAGCACAGCACGTTGATGCACCCGTCAGATCCGCCTCGTTGAAGAGCACTCGATCCAGCACGGAGTTGGCGAAGTCAGCGCCTGAGTGAGAAGGTGGGAGAGGGAAGATAAGGGCATGCAAGGAGTCAGTGTGATGCATTGTCAGTGTGATGCATTGTCGTTGAAGAGCACTCGATCCAGCACGGAGTTGGCGAAGTCAGCGCCTGAGTGAGAAGGTGGGAGAGGGAAGATAAGGGCATGCAAGGAGTCAGTGTGATGCATTGTCAGTGTGATGCATTGTCAGTGTGATGCATTGTCAGTGTGATGCATTGTCAGTGTGATGCATTGTCAGTGTGATGCATTGTCAGTGTGATGCATTGTCAGTGTGATGCATTGTCAGTGTGATGCATTGTCAGTGTGATGCATTGTCAGTGTGATGCATTGTCAAGATCTGACGACCAGCCTCGTTGAAGAGCACCCGATCCAGCACTGAGTTGGACAAGTCCGCACCTGAATGAGCGGGCAGTAAGGGAGGAGGAGTATGAGTATTGCATTCATGCACTTGTAGAACATGCTTTGTTCAAGAGAACCCATTCTGTTTTGCTGAGTTGGACAGGGGGTTGAGGTGGACAGAGGTGGACAGAGGTCGGGTGGGGATGAGGGTGGGCACCAACTTGTAGAACATGTTTTGTTCAAGAGAACACGATCTGATTTACTGAGTTGGTGAAGTCAGCACTTGAGTGAGAGGAGGTGAGTGCAAAGAGGAGGGCATGTGAGGAGGAAAAATGGTGCATTGCTGCACTTGTACAAATATGATTTGATGAAGAGGATACGCCTCATCATCACTCGGCCCGACCCCCCCCTGAAGCTGGCCCCAACGGCGTAGTCCTAGAACATGACCGTTTCAGTGAGGTCTGCATTCTCCGCCTCCTTGACCCCAAGGCTTGAAACGGAAGGGAAACAACAATTCTCCCTCTTCCCGAACATGTGCCCTGACAGGACACTCCCACTCACCCCTGAAGCTGGCCCCAACGGCGTAAGCCTTGGACATGAGTCTCAGTGAGATCCGCGTTGTCAAAGTTGGCGCCCGACATGAGGGCGGACGACAGCGTCTTGCCCTTCAAGATTTCCTTGTCCCCTGAGAAGTCGCACTGCTGCAGGTCCAGCACCTTGCATCTCCGCCCCCACACACCGTATCACCTCGTCCTCTTTCCCAGCTAACCCCTTCCGCCGGACAACACACCCCCACTCACCCCGGAAGCTGGCCCCAACAGCGTAAGCCTTGGACATGACTGTCTCAGTAAGATCCGCGTTGTCGAACTTAGCGCCCGACATGAGCGCGGACGACAGCGTCTTGCCCTTGAGGTTCTCCTTGTCGCCCGAGAAGTCGCACTGCCTCAAGTCCAGCACCTTGTCCGACACGCCGTTCGCCTGCCCAATCGTGTTGCCAACGAATGCACGCTCGCAGCGCCCAGGGTCGTTGGACAGGGGGGGAAGGCGCACCTGCAGTAGTGGGCGCGGAGAGGGGAGGAGGGTGGGGTGTGGAGGGGGGGGGGGGGTGTTGGGAAGGGAATGGGGAGGGGGACGGGGAAGGGGGATTGGGGAGAGGAGAAGGATGTGGGTTCTCCTTGTCGCCCGAGAAGTCGCACTGCCGCAGGTCCAGCACCTTGTCCGACACGTCGTTCGCCTGCGCGATCATGTTGCCCACGAACACGCGCTCACAGCGGGCTGGGTCGTTAAAGAGTGGCGGCTGGCGCACCTGGGGTAGGGGGGTCGGGGAAGGTTGGGGAGAGGGGAGAAAGGTTGGGGGGGAATGGGGAAGGGGATGGGAGAATGGGGGGAGTTGAGAACGGGAACAAGGTGAGTGGGAGGGGAGGGGGGGAAGTGGGGGAGGAGGGAGGATTGGAAAAGAGGAAGAGAGAATGCGAAAGAGAGGAGAATGGAAAGGATGTTGGCTCAATTTACCCCCGAAAGATTTTGCTCACAAGTCACTTGGTTGAGCCGAGCCTCACTTAGCTGGTCCGAAACTCATCCGGTTGTGCCGAGCCTCACCTGGCTGGGCGAGGGAGCAGCGATGGCGGGAGCGGCAGTAGCGAGTGAGACGGCGACACACGCGCCGCAGATAGCAGTGGCTGCGGCCGTGGCGATGGACGCTGCCAATGACGGCTTCTCCTCGGCTGATGCCCCTGGGAGCAGGAGGGGGGAGGAGGAACAGGAGCGAAGGGAATGGCGCATGATAAGGAAGGGAAGGGCCTTCGCGAGTCTCATCTCATGTGCGCCGCAGATGGCGGTGGCTGCCGCCGTGGCGATGGATGCCACCAACGACGGCTTCTCCTCGGCTGATGCCCCTGGGAGCAGGAGGGGGGAGGAGGAACAGGAGCGAAGGGAATGGCGCATGATAAGGAAGGGAAGGGCCTTCGCGAGTCTCATCTCATGTGCGCCGCAGATGGCGGTGCCTGCCGCCGTGGCGATGGACACCGCCAACGACGGCTTCTCCTCCGCCGAGGCCCCAGGGAGAAAGGGGGAAGGGGGGAGGAGGAGGGGAAAGGGGATGGCGGAGGTGTGGTGTTGGAAGAGTGCAGGGAAGGGGGAGCGACGCATGATAAGGAGGTGCGCGAGTGTCATGTGCGCCGCAGATGGCGGTGGCTGCAGCCGTGGCGATGGACGCCGCCAATGACGGCTTCTCCTCGCCCGAGGCTCCTGGGAGGACGAAGGAGGGGGGGAGAGGGGGAGGGGGTGAGGAGAAAGGGGAAAGGTGGGGGGAATGAGCAGACCGGGGAAGGGGGGAACGGAGGGGGGGAAGGGGGAGGGGAACAGAGGGGGGGAAGGGGGGATGGGGGAACGGACGGGGGGGGAAAGGAGGGAACGGTAGCTTTGATGCGAGGAAGAGGGGAAAGGGGGATGTTTGATATTTGCGGGAAATTCAACCGTTGATATCTGGAGAGAGTGCGTGCTAAATTGTTGTGGCTTCGGGAGAACATTTCGGTCATTGCTCTACACGACCTGTCGAGCTAAATATTACCGTTCGGAAAAACAACTTTTGGATACCAGCGGATTTGATATCATGATTGAAGAAACCATGTCATGCGGATTAGGTATCACGATTGAAGAAACCCTGTCATTTGCTGGTGAACCCACCGTCTTGCACCTTCTTTAACACAATGTGATGTCACCATGTAATGTCACAGCGTAGATGTCTGAAGCGGCATAGATGTCTGACGTCACCATGTATCATGTTACCGTGTAACACAGCGAGTGCGAAAGAGCACGAAACGGCGAGATGACAGACGCAGTGATACGAGGCACGCGTCGCGTGGTGTCATGACACAGGAACATCACGACGTCTCTCCTCAACCTGGCTTACAACTAAGTACTACGTGATAAGGCTGCTTTTGAGTCGACTCAAAAGCGTGATAAGGCTTATAGTACGCGGTGCCCTAAATTGTTGATGACGACAATGACAAAGCATATGTCTTGCAGTGTCTGCTTGGCGACTGTGCCTGCTGACTCGCGAAAGCTAAACCTGACCAGAATGTATATGTACTTGCAGAAATGTTTACTCAATCGCGCGAATGTTCACTCGCGAGAACAAATGTGTAACATTGTCTACTTACTCGCGACAAGTGCTGCTTTCTTTGAAAATGCTGCTGCTGGCCTGGCAGAGACAACAGCGAGCTGCCGGCCAGCGACGGCCTTGCCCTGGGAGGACAGCAGGGAGCAGCGAAGGCTGGTGGACGGTGCAGCGACG